CAGGACCCTTCTTCAGAAAATTTTCTGAAGGGTCCCGACCCGAAACGTCAGCTTTCCTGCTGCTCTGATGCTGCCTGGCCTGCTGTGTTCCGCCAGCTCCACGCTGTGTTATCTCAGACTCCAGCATCGGCACTTCTGGCTATCTCTAATATTCCATTGAGCTTTTCTGATTAAATCATTGTAGTCATGTTATCTTTGTTTAGAGTCAAAGTGGACTCGTGCCAATCAGACAGTAACTGAAAGACAACAAAAACTTGAGGAATCAGCCAACCTGCTCTCAAGTTTCCAGAATACAGAATCACAGCTCAGTCCATGGCTATCAGAGAAGGAGTTAATGATGAGTGTACTGGGTCCTCTATCAATTGATCCAAATATGCTGCGTGCTCAGAAACAACAAGTACAGGTAAAACTAAGAACCAGAAATGTCAATGTTATTTAAGGATGCAATACAAAGATTGTACATGAAATTATTCCTGATATCTCTAATTAAAATCTTTGTTTGTGTCAGTTTATGTTGAAAGAATTTGAGACTCGTAAACCCCAGTATGAGCAACTAAACAAAGCAGCAGAAGGCATACTGTGTGCATCTGGAGATGTATCTCCTCCTGACAGCCAGCTGAGCGATCAGCACAAAGCTATTAATGACAAATGGAATAAACTTACCAATCAGCTCAGCAGTCGTTCAAGTCAAATTGATCAAGCCATAGCCAAGAGTACAGAGTACCAAGAGCTACTGCAGCAGCTCACTGACAAAGTCAAGATTCTCTGTGATAAACTAAACAACCAGGCTGTGATTAGTACTCAGCCAGATGTTGTCAAACAGCAACTTGAAGAAACCAGTGAAATTCGCTCAGATTTGGAACAGCAAAAGGAGCAGATTGAACAGGCACAGATTCTCTGTGATAACCTGTCTTCTCTCGTCGGTGAACAGTATTTAAAGGATGAGCTTCGGAAGCGCCTAGAAGCAGTTGTAACGCCATTTAATAGTCTTGTAGAGAGAGCAGGTAGGTATTGATGGAATCTTTGTAATACAATTTAAAACCAGTTTATCATCTGACAGATGTACTGAAAAAACAGATTCCTGTAATTTTTGAAATTATTACGGATTTATTTTATTACGGATGCCTTCCACTCTTCCACCAATATATATGGAAACTCAGCTGAAAAGTCTGTAGTCTATAGCTATCTGGAGCAGTTTCAATTGACCACTTTCTCTAAGAGATGGAAGACACCCAGCTAATACTTTTCAGCCAAGTCTTTGACTGGCTGAATGCTTTGCATCAGATTAAGTACATGATAGCAGTTAGCACTAATAGTCTTATCATTGTCACAAGAACCATGAAGCTGTTCTGTCCCAGATTAATTGGATGTTTATTTGATATTTACCTTTTTAATTGCTACTTTTGTTAAAATACTCTAAAAATGGATTTCCTACTTAATCCCTGTGATTAATATTCCAGTTTGTTACCCATTTCTTGATTCAATTAGTTTTGGGCCAAATCTACCCTCTGGCACATGGCCAATTAGCCATACTAGGGACATAATTATTCCCTCCCTGGAGGTGACAAGAAAGCCATATAATTGGATGAAACAAAAGCAGAAATTTCAGGTCTGGCAGTATCTGTGGGAAGAAACCAGAGTTCATGTTCCAAGTCTGATACCTCTTCGTCGGACTTGAACTGTCAACTCTGCACAAATGTTGACTTTCTCCAGCAATTTGTTTTTGCTTCATATTTTCAGCATCTGCAGTTCTTTAATTTATAAATAGTTGAGAGTCAGCCCTGGAGAGACACTCCTTACCCCCCAACCCATCTTCTCACCAATTTAGGATTTAAGTGCTGAGTAAGAAGGTCCCTTTGGGCCTTTCTGGCCTCCTCCAATTAAGGCCCTCAAGAGTCAATTAAAGACCTCAATTTGCCACTGACCCAGCTTACCCACCTTCCTGACAGGCAGGAAAAGTTGCAAGTTGCCCACTTGGATCCAGTTTGGGACAGGGATGGGGGATAAGCAATAGCTGCTGAAGACCAGACGAGCTGTGACTTGGATTTGCAAGTGTATTTTAGGAATCCTTCCCCTTTCAAAATCCAACTCTGTGGCAAGGTGAATCACATGAATTTTGTTTCCCGACAGAAATGCTGATTACCTACGATTAAGACACCAACTGTCTTTTATGATGGGGAAAAAATGGGCAGTTCAAAGCATAATTGTTTATAACTCAGCATGATGCACACCTTACTGGGACTTTAGTGGTTAGACTTGTTGTCTCTGTAAATATGGTGTGTACACCTCGTCCCTTCTTTTTCAGCAAAACAACCTGGGTCACCCTTTAATTTAATCACGTCACCCAGGCCTATTGTTAGGCAAATTTAAAATAGCTCACGGGACTGTTTTGTTTTATCCCAAAAGTAAGGTGAGTTCCGAAACATTGTAGTCTTTTTTAAACCTTGTTTTTGTAATAATCATTGACTTGTTTCATTTGATTTCAACCAAAATTACCTTATTTTGAACTTGTGTTCAGCAAGTCGGATTATACACTTTAAAATAACAGTAAAGTTTTACAGTGCACAAAGTGGATTGAAAAAGGCAAACTGTTCCATCAATAATTGAAATATTTTATACATAAAATATATAATATCTATACTTGCAGATACTTCAGGTTTGTGATGAATTGATATTTAAAATATTTTTAAATATCAATGGAAAATGACCGGAATTGTGTATGTTTCCAAATTAATTGACAAATTGTGTGTTCATTATTATTTACAGGTGATCGGATAAACCAACTTCAGACAATTCTGGCCAGTTCTCAGCAGTTCCAACAAACCTTTGATGAACTCAAGCTGTGGCTAGATGATAAATGTAGTGAACATGCTCAAAGGTCTCCTGTGTCTGCAAACCTTGATATTTTACAGTCTCAGATAAGTGAGCAGGAAGAGTTCCAAAAGAGCCTGAATCAGCATTCAGGCTCGTATGACATGATTCTTTCTGAAGGAGAGGCTCTATTTCGAAGTGCCCAACCTGGGGAAGAAAAAATGATCCTTCAGAGTCAGTTGTCATCTCTTAAAGGACAATGGAATAATCTCACCAAACTGGTTACAAGCAGACATTCTAAACTTAAAGACTGCCTGCAGAAAGCACAAAAGTACAGACAGTATGTGGAAGACTTGCTTCCATGGATTGAAGATTGTGAATTTAAAATTAAAGAACTGGTGATCACTGTTGATCCAGGACAACTCAACTCCTCTTTAGCTAATGCTAAAGATCTGCATCATGATGTGGAGAAACACCATTCCCTGCTGGAAATAATGAATACTGCTGCTGATATTCTTGTTGAGTCTTGTCAGGTCAATGAAGATGATATTAGGGATGAAAAAGCAGGTATAAATCAAAGAATGGACCTTATTACAGAGCATCTTCAAACCAAGAGTGAATCAATCGAGGAAATGGCTCAAAGGCTAAAGGAGTTTCAGGATTCCCTGAAAAACATTCAGAAGAAACTTGATGGTACAAAGCAACAGCTTGAAATATATGATGCTCTTGGACCCCAAGCCTATAGTAATAAGAACTTGGAAAAGCTAAGGACACGGCAGGAATCTTTGCAAATGTTAGAGCCACAAGTAGAGTACCTGAGAGACCTTGCCCAAGGACTAGCAGAAGATGCCCCTGATGGTGCAGATTCATCACAGCTTCTACAGCAAGCAGAAGTAGTTCAACAAGAATATAGTGATGTAAAACAGAGAGTGGATGAAAGCTGTTTATCAATGGAAAACAAACTTCAAGGAATTGGACGTTTCCAGAGCCGTGTACGGGAGATGTTTTCGTACCTTGCAGACCTGGATGATGAACTGGACAGCATGAGTCCTGTTGGCAGAGATTTAGATAGCCTGCAATCTCAGATTGATGATATTAAGCAATTCATGGACAAACTTAAAGAATTAAAGAAAGATATTGAAACTTCAGAAAAAGAATGCAAGCAGATGCTAGAAATAGAAGGCAGTCCAGACTTACAGGGCCTGAAACGAGAGCTTGAAGCCTTGAACAAACAGTGTGGTAAACTACTGGAACGAGGGAGGAATAGACAAGAGCAAGTAGAGATGACTGTTTCACGAGTTGAAGATTTCTATGAAAAACTCAAAGAACTGAATAGCCTCCTAACTAAAACAGAAGAGGGTGAAGAATTGCAAGGGATGGTGGGAGCAGAAGTTGATGTTATCAATCAGCAATTGGGAGACTTTAAGGTAAGGTTTCTTTTAGCTCAGTCCATGGTACTTTTTAGAGATTTCCAAAGTGATAAATTGTTCCAAACATTTTTCTGGAACGTATTTGTAATTTATTTTATACTACTACAATTATTTGAATATATATTTATAGTTTCAGCCAACATTTCCTCCTTAGTAATTGGATCCTGTTATGATGGATGAACTTGTGTTTTTTGTGGCAATGTTCACATTGTACATTATTGTCCCCTCCTTTAGTCTGTGCTGTTGGAGCCTTTTATGATGGATGATTGGTGCTACACTGCGTCTATATTACATTGGCTAGCAGGAATTTTTATAAATCATAAATACATGGTTACCTGAAAAGATCCTTACTGAAGACATGCCCTCTATTTCAAAGTACCCAACTGGAAGAAAAAAGTTAAACCTTTGGATCAATTGTCAACCCTCAAAGGACAGTGAGATCAGCTAATGAAACAGCTAGCAGGCAGATATTCTTGGCTCAAAGATTGCCTTTGCAAAACACAGCATTCCAGACAGTATGTGAAGGACTTTCTGACATGGATAGAAGACCATGAATTCTCCAGACTTTATAGTGATGTCAGTCACTGTAGGGGCTCAAAAAAGTAGGAGGTTACAATTTGTCTGAAGACAGATAAAATCCATGTTTATGTAAATCTGAAAAAAATGATTCTTCAGCAAGGAGAAAGAGCAGTAACTGAGTAACATTTCATTCAGAGAGGCAAGGGAGGTGAAAGAAAGGTGGAACTAATAATTTGTAAATATTGGGTACGAAAGCTGGAATGAATGCTTCAGCAAAAGGGAGAAATAAGCAATTGAGGGGGAGGAGACAAGTTTGAATCTTTGAAGTGTATTGTTTGTGTAGAATGGGACAGCACAGATGGCACAACATGAGAAGAAAGCAAATGGAAGAATCCAAGGATAGAAATTTTTTGGGTGGGAACAGGAGGATGTGGAGGTTCAAGGAAAGAGAAGCCATATTTGATGCTTTGTTTTGGAAGTGAAGAAGATTGACACACTTGTAAAGTCAAGAATGGTGACTGGGGACAGAAGAAGCACAGTGCAGTGATTTGAAGATGGATATGAATCCAGGAACATCAGTGTGGGGGAATATGAGTGAGGCTAGGAGCAGTTATTTTCATTGTGAAATGATAGACAAAAAACAGAGTGAAAACTGGAGCAAGGATAAACTGGGAGCAGCATGTTTTTGGATGGAAGAAGCTGAAGCAAGGAAGAAAACAGAAGACATGTTTGGATCCAAATACTGTATTCATATTGTTTAAATTAACCACCATAGAGCATTTTTAAATTTAGGATATATATCCTATTATTTGAAATCTCTCAATTCTTCTGTTCCTCATGCAAGTAAATAGGCTATTACCCAAACAAAGACGCTGTTGATACACTGACCTAATAAGTGTTTGTTGCAGTTTGGAAGGTTAGGTCTTACACTCATCGTCTTCACCGATCCACTGATCCTCTGGTTTTATTCATTTTTACATCCATTGTCCATCATTGATGGGGGCTGAGCTTTTCTGGAATTATGAGCTAACACGGAATGTAGCTATGTGATCATCAACGTGTTTGTGCTCTCTCTTTTTTTTAAAAGAGCTATCCAGTTAGTCCCACTTTCTTGCTCTTTCTCAAAGCTGTCTAATTTTTTGATTATTTCAAGCAGTTGGCCAATTCTTTTTTGAAAATTATTATTGTACCTGGGTTCCAATCCTCATTTTCAAAGACAAACTAGGATGGGAAGCAGATATTGATCTTTCCAGAAATGTCCACATCCCATGAAAGCGGGGTTGGGTGGGGGTGCGAAATGCATGGCATAATTAGTTTGGCCTTGTCGTTTCTACTATTTCTGCCTAAATCTCTGCTTTCTGATTTCATTAGACACCATTCTGCCACTAGAAATAGTTTTTTGCTACTTATTCAATCAAAATTGTCACAATTTTTAGATTTCTATCAACTCTCCCCTCAGCTATCTAAGCTCTAGGAGGAACAAGGTGTAGAGCTGGATGAACACAGCAGGCCAAGCAGCATCGTAGGAGCAGGAAGGCTGACGTTTCGGGCCTAGACCCTTTAATGTTATCTCAGATTCTCCAGCATCTGCAGTACCTACTATCTCTAGGAGGAACAAACTTGGTTTCTCCAGTTTCTTTAATTAACTGAAGTCATTAATCCCATTTGCTAGTTATCCACACTATTCAACTAAGGATAACCAATATTTTATAAGGGTTTGACATAACTACCTGTGGTTCTGTACACAGCGTCTGTTTATAAAAGTCAAATATCTTGAATGCCCTTTTTTATTTAATCTGATCAACTAGTCCTGCGACTGTCAAAGACTTTGCATATGTACAACTCCCCTTAAAAATATAAACATTATACTGCCTCTCCTAATGTTCCTGGCAAAATATAACACTTCACATTTGTGTGCATTTAATTTTATCTAACATGTTTGTCCATTTTATCATAACTGCCAGAAGTTCAAGTCCAAATCGTTAAAATATCTCAATAATACAGTGGTCCCAACAACAACCCTGAACATGACATATTTCTATGCCACCTGAAGAATAGCCATTTATCACTGCTGTTTTCTACTCCAAAATCAAGTTTGTATGCATAGGCCCATTGCTTTTCATTACCAAAGGCTTTAGTTTTGCTAACTAGTCTATTATGCAGGGGTTTCTGCTACAACATGATAGTTGTGTTCCAGCGCAACATTGTGTTATAGAAAATCACGCTATAGAAGTAATTGGGCCGAAGGGAAAAGCGGGCTTGGGGCAGACCACCAAAAAAAGTAACTCGAAGGATAGCACCACTGTCAGCATCTGTTCGGACTATTGGTCCGACCGTGACAGCGGCTTTGCAGCTCCGTCTCAGATTGATGCTACTGTCCTTACTATTTCCAAAAAGTACAGGATGGTTACGCAGGTGTCCTGTTCAGTACTTATCTCTTAGTCAGCAACACAATGACAGATTGTCTGGTCATTATTACATTTGTTGTTTGTGGGAGAGTGTTGTGAGAAAATTAGCTGCTGTATTTTCTACCATGACTGCACTTCAAAAATACTTCAGTGATTGTCAAGCTCTTTGTAACATCTGGTTGTGAAAGTTGTAAGCCTCTGTAAGCAAGAAGATCTAGGTTCAAGTCTTGCCTTAGAACTTAATGGCCAGGGAAGGTGCAGTCACAATGTGACTAAAAAGATTGACAACAATCGGCAAATTCTTCCAACACAGTGGCAGACTGTAAGATTGGGAGAGACTCCTGGTTAGCCATGTGACTAAAAGAACATTGGAGACTCTACCACCACTATCCATAGCTCCGGACTGTGACATATACATATATGTATGTTGTGTAGCAATTCGGATTCCTTTAGCGATCTTATCACTAGACCACAAGGGTATCGAGGGATTTGGAGCAAAGGTGGGAAAATCATGTTGAAACATAGATCAACCATGGGGATCTGACTAATTACTTAAATAGGCTACTGGAGCCTCCTGTTGTACAGAGGTTCTGAACCTCACAGTATTTTATTTCAAGGTAAGTTAGAAACACCAGTTTTCGTTACACCCGACACACGTGGCCCCACCCCACACCCCGATAAACAAATCTGCTGGCTTCTTACTTTCAGTTTTAATGAAAGTTGACGAGGAGAATTTCTCTGGGACTCTGATTCACAGCATTGTACAAATACACTATAGGTATCATTAGCAAAGGCCTCCTGACAGCAAGATGCCTACTTGATAGAATTGCATTACAGCCAATGCAAGTTCGCGTTTTAGAAATAGCATTCCCTTATTCGTCGATCACATTATAGCCAATCCATGTTGCCGGAACACACGTTATAGCAGAACCCCCTGTACAATATTCTATAAAATGCTCTTTTTGAAAGTTCTTATATATACTGTCAGCTGCAACTCCATCTTCACACTCTCCATGAATACATTAAAGCTCTCAAACAAGCTAATCTCTCATTTACTGCTAGGCAGATTTTCTTTTATTAGACTACTTTTCCAAGAATTTGCAAATTTTCTTTTTGATTACTTTTATAAGTTTTTTTTTTTTTTTCAACCACCAATGTTTGACTGGTCTGTTATTGCTGCCAGGTTTATGCTCTTTCTCTCTCTTTGAGCTTGTATGCAACATTTTCAATCCACTAGTATATTTCTTCCTCTATCCAGCAAGAATTGGAAGATTTTGGTCCAGAGCTTTCACATTTCCTTTGGATGCATTTCATCATGGATGGATGGACACTATTCCTGTTGTGAATACTTCTCTTTTTCTTTGTTTTTATCCAGTCAATTTCTCTATTGCCTCTTCCTTTACTGTTAATATTAGAAGCATAATCATTCATGCAGGAAGATGCAATGTACTCATAGTTCTGAAATGGCCACATTCTTTCTTTGATGACCTTTTATGCCATTTATGTATTTGAGGTGTCAAAAAAGACATTTTGTTGCAGCTTTTCCTGTGTCATTCTCCTCTTTTCCCAATTGGGAAACATCTTTATTTGGTGGTAACTGTGGCCATCTCAGTCATGGCCAGATGGTTTGTAAATTTTAAGCATTGCAGTCTTTGCCCCCTTCCCCAAGTTGGCCATTGGTAGGTGACCCTTATTCATTAGTTGGAATTTAGTGACAGTGGAAGACCCCAATATTGACACTGTTCCCTTGCTAGTCACCTTAGGGCCTTAATTGCAATGCAAAGGGAAAATTAATATTTATAATGCATAAGAGAGTGCTGATTGATTGACAAGTGGACTCTGATCAGTTGGGGCATTGCCATAGAAAATGCACCAATTAATGATGTTTAGCTGCCAGACTTGCTGACATTTTAAACCAGTCAGGTTAACAGAGGTCAAGACATTGGCCTGGGAAATGAACCAGCAAATAGCTTGTTGCTTGACTTGTTAAGTTGAAGTAGATGCAGTTTGTGTGCATGTGTTCACTTGTATACATAACCAGCCAACTATTTATGTATTTATAAAAGAATT